ATTAAAAAACAAAACAAAACACACCAACCACTATGAAAACTGGAAGGCTACATGAATATAGCACTGGAGCAAACGGAAGAGTATGTAAATGGGCAGCTGAAGACTAAGTATGGGGATGCGTTCATCCGCAGAAACAATGTGCTGTATATAAGTACACAGAAGCGAAGGATGTGAAGACGCCAGGAGCAGCTCTCTTCACACTTGGATGTACTTTATTATGAAGAGCTTGGTTTTTTTGTTCTTTTACGACCAACTAACTTTTATACCAAATAAAACACATACACTATGTTTGTATACTTGTAAAGGAAAACGTACTAAATAATATAATCAATAAATTAAAAAATTCTTCCTAATCTCCAAAGTTAACTAATTTTGTTTTCCTAGAAGGAATTGTGGGTCAAACAAGTTGGCTTCATACAACAGATGTAGGAATAGTTCAACATACAAAAATCTGTCAACGTAATCCACCATATAAACAAGCTGAAAAATAAAAACCACACGATCATCTCATTAGATGCTGAAAAAGCATTTGACAAAATACAATATCACTTCATGATAAAGGTCTTGGAGAGAGCAAGGGACACAAGGAACGTACTGAAACATAATTAAGGCAATATACAGCAAGCCAACAGCCAACATCAAACTAAATGGAAAGAAACTCCCAGCGATTCCACAGAAATCAGGAACAAGGTTGTCCACTCTCTCCATATCAATTCAGTATAGTTCTTGAGGTCCTAGCTAGAACAATAAGACACCAAAGGGAAATCAAGGGGATACAAATTGAAAAAGAAGTCAAACTCTCACTGTTTGCTAATATGATAGTTTACATAAGTGATCCCCGAAATTCTACCAAGGAACTTTTACAATTCATAAACACTTTCAGTAGTAATGTAACAGGATACAAGATTAACTCAATATACTCAGTAGCCCTCCTATACACAGGTGATAAAAGGGCTGGGGAAGAAGAAATTAGAGACTCAACATCCTTCAAAATAGCCACAAATGGCATTAAATATATCTGAGTAACTCTAACCAAACAAGTGGAAAACTTCTATGACAATAATTTTAAATCTTTGAAGAAAGAAATTGAAGAAGACACCAGAAAGTGGAAAGATGTCCCATGTTCTTGAATAGGCAAAATTAATATAGTAAAAAGGCAATCTTACCGAAAGCAATCTCCACATTCAATGCAATGCCTATCAAAATCCCAGCAAAATTCTTCAAAGACCTTGAAAGAATGGTACTCAACTTCATATTAAAAAGCTGAGGATAGCCAAAACAATCCTGTGCAATAAAAGAACTTCTGGGGGCATCACAATCCTGGACTTCAAACTCTACTACAGAGCTACAGTACTGAAAACAGCCTGATATTGTCATAAGAACAGACAGGAGGACCAATGGAACTGAAGAGAAGACCTGGATATCAATCCACACATCTTCAAACACCTGATCTTTGATAAAGAAGCAGAAAATATCAAATGGAAAATAGACAGCATATTTAACAAGTGGTGCTTGGCATAACAGGATACCAACATATAAACAAATAAAAATAGACCCATATCTATCACTATGCAAAAAACTCAAGTCCAAATGGATCGACAACCTCAATATAAAGCCAGCCACACTGAACCTTATAGAAGAGAAAGTGGGAAGTACACTTATTGGCACTGAGAACCACTTTCTAAATATAGCCCCAGCAGCATAGACACTGAGAGAAACAATTAATACATGGGACCTCCTGAAACTGAAAAGCTTCTGTAAAGCAATGGACATGGTCAACAAGGCAAAACAACAGTCTATAGAAAGGGAAAAGTTCTTCACTAACCCCACATCAGACTGAGGTCTGATCAAAATATACAAAGAACTCAAGAAATTGGACATCAAAAGATCACATAATCCAATAAAAAAATTAAGTACAGACCTAAACAGAACTCTCAACGAAGGAATCTAAAATGGCTGAAAGACTTTTAAGAAAATGTTCAACATCCTTATTCATCAGAGAAATGCAAACCAAAATAACTCTGAGATTCCATCTTACACCTGTAAGAATGGCCAAGATCAAAAACTCTGTTGACAACTTATACTGGAGAAGTTTTAGGGAAAAGGGAACACTTCTGCATTGCTGGTGGGAAAGCCAGTTGATATATCTCCTTTCAATGTCAGTGTGGCGATTTCTCAGAAAATTAGGAAACAACTTTCCTCAGGAACCAGTAATACCTCATTTGGGTATATATCCAAAGGATGCTCAATCATGCCACAAGCACATGTGTTCAACGATGTTCATAGGAGCTTTGTTTTTAATAGCCAGAACCTGAAACAACGCAAATGCCCCTCGATTGAAGAATGGTTAAGAAAAAGGTGGTACATTTACACAAAGGTGGTACTACACAGCAGAAAAATATAATGACAGCTTGAGTTTTGCAGGAAAATGGATGGAGTTAGAAAACATTATTTTAAGTGAAGTAACCCAGACACAGAAAGACAATTATCACATGTACTCACTCATAAGTGGTTTTTAAACATGAAGCAAAGAAAGCTAACCTACAAACCTCAATACCAGAGAACTTAGACAACAATGTGGATGCTAAGAGAGACTTACATAGATATAATCTACATGAGAAATGGAAAATAGAAAAAGCCAAGATCTCCTGAGTAAATTGGGAGCATAGGAACCATGGAAGAAAGTTGAAGGGAGGAGGAAAGAGGTTGAGGGGGGGAGAAGAGAAAAATATAGAGCTCAATAAACATCAATAAAATAAAATTAAAAAAGAAAAGAAGAGGTTTAAGTGGATAGAGATTTAATCCCCTAATCAGTTGGAAGCATATCCTTTAAGGGTGGGACCACAAAAGGCAGGTGTGAAGGAAAAGGAGTATAAAAAGGGCTATAGGATGCTGAGAACACCCTCAGTGTCATTAAGGTGCACTCACTCACAGCTGGCCCTTCTGGAGATAGAAGTCCTGTCACCAGTGTCCAGATCAGATAAGCACTCACCTCCATCAGGAGGAATGTTTACCTGAAGGGTAGGACTCCTTAGCAATGTACCTATAGTTCACTGTGGTTAATTAAAATGAGAGACGAAATCTTTGCGAATTTACTTGAGTTGTTGCTTTTGTGTGGTTTTGTTTTAATGGAAAATGCCATTAAATGCTTGTGTTTTTGTTCATGTGCTTTTTTCTTTGTTTTGTTTTGTTGTTGTTTCTTTGAGATGGGGCATCAGATATGCAAGTTTGGTCTTGACCTACAGTCACTCCTTTGTCTCTTTGCCTCAAAGTTTCATTGTGGAACTCAAATTAGCATCTTTCTTCTAGGTTAATTCTTTTATAAATCCATTAAATTAAGTCTCATAAATTATGTGTTTGCAGTTGTAAGGACTGAAATTTTCTCTTTACTTTATTTTATTAATCAAGGTGTTTTGGAGGCAGGTTCTCAGAGAGCAAAGCCTGGCATTGAGCACCAGCTCATTCCTGGTCTGTCTATCCTGCTAGGCCCATTCTCGATTGTAGTGGTATACTGTTTGTTAGGATAAATATTGCCAGAGGACAAGAGACAAAACTAAAGCAACTAGAGGTCAGGCAATGAGGTCACACACCTTTAATCTTATGATTTGGCAGACAATCATGTTTGAAGAGATTGCTAGTTTGTTTCTGGCTACTCAGACCTGAAATAATCACACAGAAACCATATTATTAGCAATGTTATTTGACCAATAGCTTACATATTTCTGGTTACCTACTAACCTAAATTAACCCATTTCGATTCATCTGTGTATTGCCACAAGGCTATGGCTTACTGGGTAAAGGTTGTGAGTCTGTCTCTGGCAGGGCTGCATGGCTTCTCTCTCAATCTGCCTTCTTTCTGCCAGAATTCACAGTAGTTTACCCTGTCTAGAGCTTCCCTATGCTATCACAGGCCAAGGAAGATCTCTCTTTATTAAGCAATCGATTCACAGCATACACAGGGGAATCCCACATCAGAGTCAGATGGACCTCTGTGATTTCAAGGCCACCATGGGCCACAGACGATCGATGTAAAAACAAATCCAGGTGGTGCTGGCTCACACATTTAATCCCCACCTTAAGGAGTCACAAGCCTTGAATCCCAGCAGTAGAGGGCATATAATTTGGGAGGGGAAAGAGCCAGTGACTGGTTCCTTTGCTCTTCATTTCTTCAGGTTGAAGCTGAATTCTATACTCTGAGTTTTTATTAATTGTACATCATGAGGCTGCTTAGACCCTGGTTGCCCAGCTTTGGTACAGGTAAGAATAAATCACATATGCTCAGGTTAACACTCCCGCAAAACTAATTCAAGCAATCAATGGATTAATGGAATCTTCCAGTTCTCCTTCAGTTAAGCATTATTGTTTTCACATGTGGAGCTACGACTCAGTCAGTATAGCCTAAGTAAATATAATCATAATGGGTTTTAAGCAAATGTACAGTCAATATCCCTGTGAGATAGAAGTGTCTCAAAGGGATGTAGAAATACTAAGGGATGTCCTGAGGAGAAAGGAGTATAAAAGGACCTAGGAGCCCAGGATTGCCAGACACTTGTGAGTATCTCCTCTCCTATTCATGCGGATTGACTACATGGAGGAGAGAACTGGGGTGAGTTGGACATGGGACCTTATCCCTCTCGTTTCATGAGGGACATTAAGCATAATCAGTCTCAATTTGGTACAACAAGAGACTGGTATATTTGCCTGCTTCTGAATAATTTTTCCAAAGGGAAATGAGATTCAGAACAGCAGAGCATTGTTCTTGGTGAAATAATGGTTAATCTGTAGCTGTGCCGGTTCTAATGATGGATGTCACAAGCTGACAGACTTGAGATGAGCAGATATTAGAAGAAGATACACAGAAATCTTGACTACTGTTATAACAAAGATACTGACCTGGGTTTGTTTCAGGGACGTGTGAGACTTACAAAACACTAGGTTATGACATGAGTATTTGTATCCTGTATATTTTCCCAGGTCCTTCTTTATCAAGATCCATCAGAATGAGTTTGAAGGCTCCACACACAATCCTGGAGATGGCAGTGAAAAGTCTCCTGAAGAATAAGGACTTTGACATTTCAGTACTGCAGCAGGTACCCATGGAACTCTTCCCATCCCTGTTCAAGGAGGCTTTCAACAGCAGATGCATGAAGATACTGACCGCATTGGTGGCCTCATGGCCTTTTGCATGCCTCCCTATGGGAACAATGATGAAGGTTCCAGATGTGGTGATATTACAAGTTGAACTTGCTGCTATTGAAATGCTGCTGACACAGATGTTTCACCTCAGGTAGGGGCAAAGGAAAATAAAAATGGGGTCACCTAATACCTAAAAAAGGGCATGACCAGTCAAGTGGATAAGATCCATGATGGATCAGATGTATCTGTTGTTATCAGACTGGAAGATGGTAGAAACACATGTAACTACCTAATGTAGTTCCAGTAGTTTGGGGCATATCAATATAGATGAAGCCATAATAGAAGCAGCCTTCCCTGTCATTTCCTCTAGGTAATCAGAAGTCAACACTAACTGAAGGGAGGAAAGCAGGAAGTATATCCTGGTGTAGCTTATGCTAAGAGCACTTGCCTGACAGGTCTTGCTAAGATTAGAGAAGTGGAAGGGAAAGCTGAGTCTGTTTTAGTTTTTTTTTTTTCATTTTGACACCTTGACTTTTTCTCTCACAGAAGGTCGAAGCTTCAAGTGCTGGACCTAAGGGATGAGTCCAATCGCTTCTGGGATGTCTGGCATGGACTAGAAGGTTTAGACTGCTCAAAAGGAATGCTGAGTTAGGAGCAAAAAGGCAAAGACCCCAAGATATGCCCCAAGGCAACCCATGAATGTAGTGACTGATTTTGACCTAAAAGATGAACTGCATGAGCGACAAGCATACTTGCTGCAGTGGGCCCAGCAGCAAAAAAGGTCTGTGAAGCTTTACTGTATGAAGATGACAATCTGTGAAACCCCTGTGGAGCTTATCATGGCCATCTTGAAAGTCTTCCCACCAGAATCTGTGGAAGAACTTGAATTATCCAGAAACTGGAGTCTGGCAACACTGAGTAGTTTTGCACCTCCCTTAGATCAGATGAGAAATTTGCACAAACTCCATCTAAAGCGAATTTTCATGTACGTTGACATAGGTACAAATCCTTTGTCAGACAGAGAGGAGAAATGTGAATCTAGGTTCCTGTCTAAGATCTTCAAATTAAGCTGTCTCAAGCACCTCTCGATGAATGATGTATTCTTTTCTGGTGAGCTCCTGAAACACTTGTGCAGGTAAGAAACGATAGAGAGCTGTTTTTGGTAACATAGGAGAACTTCCTCTAGTACATAGAGATTATTGAGCACCTGAGAATAGCCAGGAACTGTGAATTTCACAATGATGCTCTCTGTATGATCTTGATTCCATCTTAACCAGCCAAAACACAGTCACTTCAATGACCATTCATCATTCAGTGGATGAGCTTTCGTTAGAGAATTGCACAGAAATTTCTTTCTAATAGGTGGACTATTGAGTCATGTGTTATCTTTTGTGTGTGTATTATATATACTTCTTTGTGGTCTGGGTACCCTGAAAAGTAGGAAACAGGAGGGAGCAGGTTTTCCTAAGAAAGGCAAAAGTTATGCCTGGAGAGTTGAACTGGGGATCTCTGTCCACATAGATTGTGAAGAGTAACTCAGTTTCAATTCTCATGTGGACTGTCAGTCAGCTTTTCTCTCCATGTGGAGGGAAGGATGATCTGAGTAGAGCTTTGAGCTTACCAGATAGAAACTTGGCCAAAATGGCTGACATTGATGATCTGTTTCAGGATTGAAGCATTTTTCTGAGCCTCTCCTATGCTAATGAAACAGGCCTGAGAAGGCAATGGGCTGTCCCTAGTGAGCAGACACCAAGAGGCTGCCCATTGGCCGTTGAGCTCCAAGATAAGAAAGACTGATTTTGTCTATTTCCAATCTCCAGGATGAAAGCTACATGATTTTCATCGGGTTCACCTTCTTATTTAGCTTCTCTAGGATCACGAATAATAGGCTCAAAGACCTTTAATTATGGTTAGAATCCACTTATGAGTGAATACATACCATATTCCTCTTTTTGGGTCTGGATTACATCACTCAGTAAAGCGTTTTCTATTTCCATCCATTTGCATGCAAAATTCAAGATGTCATTGTTTTTTACCGCTGAGTAGAACTCTAATGTATATATGTTCCACACCTTTTTTAACCATTCTTCTATTGAGGGGCACCTAGGTTGTTTCCAGGTTCTGGCTATTACAAATAGTGCTGCTATGAACATAGTTGAACAAATGCTTTTGTAGTATGTTAGGGCATCTCTTGGGTATATTCCCAAGAGTGGAATTGCTGGGTCCTGAGGGCGGTTGACTCCCAGTTTCCTGAGAAACCGCCACACTGATTTCCACAGTGACTGCATGTGGGGATCCACACGTGTTTGAGATCCGCCATTACAAGATGGCGCTGAGAAGCATGGTAAACAAGATAAGCAATTCTATTTTTGGCGCGAGTCTTGCCTTAGTTTGCCTAGCAACAGCTTTGCACCAATCCTAGCCTGACTAGTGTCCTGTTAGGGGGGAATATCCTTTTCAACCTGCATATAAGCCGCCACTCCTCCCAGCTCGGGGCCCCTCACTTCCAGCTCTCCCTCAACCAAACAGGCTTCATTAAAGCGTGATCAGAGAAGAATCCTCGTGTCGGTGGTCTTTCTTCCCCTGCTGGTCAGGGGGCGCGCCACAGCTGGTGCCAAAACCCGGGACCACAGCTGGTGCCAGAAACCCAGACACGGGACTGAGCATCTAGCCGACACCTGTGAGGGGCCGAAGAGAATTCAGAACTCTACACACAAAGCGGACGACGTCGGTAAGTCCTCTCAGGTACGCTGTGGTTTGCTCTGTTTGTTATTCTGCTAACCCTTGTGGTCTATTTTTGTTGTTTTTGGCTGCGGTGTGATGAACCTGGAAAGGAGTGTCTTTGTTGGGTGTAGAAATCGAGAGTAAGTCCGCTGTAGATAAAGCGGCTTTCAACTAACACCAAGGCCTCGTAAATAAAGAAATCAAAAGTAAGTCCGCTGTAGATAAAGCGGCTTTCGACTAATACCAAACAGAGTCTGTTGAAACAAAGGGGTTTAAAGGTTTCTACGAGTACGGTTCAGACCATCGTCAAGGACATAGATAAGACTACACCGTGGTTTGCCTTCTCTGGCGATCTCACCCTCAATTGTTGGGAGAAACTAGACAGAGACCTTGAGAAAAATGATCAATTAGGCAGAGGAACGCTCCCCTTGTAGAGATTGGTACATTCGTGCCTTAAAAAAGAAAAAAATATAAAAGTAATTAAACAAGGATGCAGGGTACTATCAGAGCACCAGGACAGTTTATCAAAAACAGAATCAAAAGGAGAGGATCAAAACATGCACAAAAAAAAAAAAAGGCTAGCCAAAAAGAAAAAAAAAGGAGAGGGAAGAAAAGAACCCTCATAAAGAAACACAAAAAGATAATATTAAGAAAAAGCCTCCAGCTCCCTTATATCCGGTGCTGGAAGAATTTGCCTCCCTCGAGATAACAGAGTCAGAGGAGGAGGATAAATTAACTAAACAAGAAGAGGAGGATTTTGCTGAAAAAACAGCAACAGACAGACATGCTCTGTTTGAAAACAATTCCGTCTAATTTTAAGGCCTGCTTTAATGGCACAGGCAAACAAGATTTGCTCTTTAAAACAGAGACATGCAGGTCTCTAAATTCAAAACGAGCCTACTTCCAGTACTGATTGTGCTAAATTTTTACACTGAGAGTTTTTAATACTCTTAAATATTAATTTGGGAGGAGAGTTTTATTTATGTTTTTCTAAAAATGCTGACATACATCTGGGTGCCAACAAGACCGACAAGAAAAATAAAGAAGAAAGATAATCCAGTGGATGCTGAGTGTCCTGCTGTGAAAGATTCATGTGGAGGCAGCAAAGATGACCTTCAGCCTCTTATCTCTTACTCTATTTTGCCTTTTCCTTCCTTAGGAATGGGTGGGAACAGAGATATTCTTGACATGCTGTGTCTAGGTGAAAGTTTTGATGTTATAACTATAAGCTGTGTAGATAAAACTACTCATATGTGTATTACCCCCTATCCTGCTACCCTTAATGATTCCAAAGCTATATCAGCCTTATTAAGTAAAAATTGGTCCCAAAAACTTAAACAGCTTCAAGCTAATTTTACGCTTAAGATACACATGCTTAACCAGACAGTAGTAAAAGTTGTTACATTGGGACAGTTTTCTGATTGGTTAGTGGCTACATTCACCTATTTTAAAGAGTGGGTTGGAGTTGACATGTTCGGCATGATAATTTTTGCAGGTCTGATACTTGTCTTGTTCCTGCTCTGTAGGATGCTGCGTGTTAGAAAACGGGAAAAGGTTACAATTGCTCGAGCTTTGGCAGCTTTGGAAGCCGGCCAGTCCCCCCAAGCATGGATCAGTATTTTTCAGGACCTCTAATCCAGTGCCCTTGCACCTGGAGGCCTTGTTGCCATTGCACCCAGAGGGACTGGATGACCGGTTGGCCCCGGTTAGAGGCTACCACGGGTAGCTTACACCTGAGAGTACACTGATCAGATCCTATCAGGGAGATATGATGCTAAACATATAGGTCGCCCTCAATGTTACCCTATCCCTAGAAAAAGGAGTGACAATATTTTTCAGGGCAACATCCACTATCCCCAGCTATGACCGGTACATTTTCATACGATTTAAAACAAAAGGGGGAAGTGTGGGGATCCACACGTGTTTGAGATCCGCCATTACAAGATGGCGCTGAGAAGCATGGTAAACAAGATAAGCAATTCTATTTTTGGCGCGAGTCTTGCCTTAGTTTGCCTAACAACAGCTTTACACCAATCCTAGCCTGACTAGTGTCCTGTTAGGGGGGAACATCCTTTTCAACCTGCATATAAGCCGCCACTCCTCCCAGCTCGGGGCCCCTCACTTCCAGCTCTCCCTCAACCAAACAGACTTCATTAAAGCGTGATCAGAAAAAAAATCCTCGTGTCGGTGGTCTTTCTTCCCCTGCAGGTCAGGGGGCGCGCCACAACTGCACAAGTTTGCATTCCCACCAACAATGGATGAGTGTTCCCCTCATTCCACATCCTCTCCAGCATAGGCTATTGTTGGTGTTTTTGAGTTTGGCTATTCTGACAGGTGTAAGATGATACCTCAAAGTTGTTTTGATTTGCATTTCCCTGATCGTTAAGGAGGTTGAGCATGACCTTTAGTGCCTTTTGGCCATTCGAAGTTCATCTGTTGTGAATTCTCTGTTCAGTTCAGTACCCCATTTTTTAATTGGGTTAATTGGAGTTTTAGTGTCTAGTTTCTTGAGTTCTTTGTATATTTTGGAGATCAGACCTTTGTCTGATGAGGGGTTGGTGAAGATCTTCTCCCAGTCAGAAAGCAGACTTTTTGTCTTACTGACAGTGTCCTTTGCTTTACAGAAGCTTCTCAGTTTCAGTAGGTCCCATTTATTCATTGTTTCTCTTATTGTCTGCGCTCCTGGGGTTCTGCTTAGGAAGTGGTCTCCTGTGCCTATACCTTGTAGACTACTTCCCACTTTCTCTTCTATCAGGTTCAAAGTGGACGGATTAATGTTGATGTCTTTAATTCATTTGGACCTGAGTTTTGTGCATGATGATAGATATGGATCTATTTTCATTCTTCTACAGGTTGACATCCAGTTATGCCAGCACCATTTGTTAAAGATGCTTTCCTTCTTCCATTGTATACCTTTAGCTCCCTTGTCAAATATCAGGTGTTTATACGTTTGTGGGTTAATACCCAGGTCTTCTATTCGATTCAATAGGTCGACTTCTCTGTTCTTATGTCAATAACAAGCTGTTTTCAATACTGTAGCTCTGTAATAGAGTTTGAAGTCAGGGATGGTAATGCCTCCAGAAGTTCCTTTATTGTATAAGATTGTTTTGGCTACCCTGGGTTTTTTGTTTTGCCATATAAACTTGATTATTGTTCTCTCAAGGTCTGTGAAGAAATTTGATGGGATTTTGATGGGGATTGCATTGAATCTACAGATTGCTTTTGGTAGAATTGCCATTTTTACTATGTTGATTCTCCTAATCCAAGAGCAGGGGAGGTCTTTCGGGTGCATGCGGGGGTGGGAGGGTTGTTGGAAGGGGAGAGGGTTAGAGAGAAGGGAGTAGGGGAGGAATGGGGATAGCTCAGTGGACTGGGATGGGGGGGAGGGAGGAAGGATGGATATGGGATCAGGGAAGAATATATTTCAACTAAGGGAGTCATTTTAGGGTTTACAGGAGACTTGATTATAAATGGGATCCCAGGTCCAAGGAGAGATCCCCAGATTGTTCTCTGGACAGAGGAGAGGGTGCCTGAAACGGCCTTGACCCATAACCATACTGATGAATATTTTGCTTATCACCATAAATCCTTCATCTGGCGATGGATGGAGATAGAGACAGAGACCCACATTGGAACACTGGACTTAACTCCCTAGGTCCAAACGAGAAGCAGAAGGAAAGAGAACGTGAGCAAAGAAGGCAAGACCAGAGGGAACCTTCATCTGACAATGGGTGGCGATACAGACGGATACCCACATTGGAGCACCGGACTGAGCCCCCCAAGGTCCAAATGAGGAGCAGAAGGATGAAGAACATGAAAAAGGAAATCAGGACCGCGAGGGGTGCGATCACCCACTGATACAAGGGAACGGATCTAATGAGAGTTTACCAAGGCCAGTTGGACTGGGACTGAACGAGGACGCGACCCAACCAGATTCTCTGAATGTGGTCGGATTCTCTAAATGTGGCTGGCCCGGAGTCTTTCTGAAAAGCCATTGACAATGACACTGGGACTTGTTTCCTCTGCATATACTGGATTTTGGGGATCCAGTCTGTTTGGATGCTCACCTTCCTGGACCTGGAGGGAGGGGGAAGGAACTTGAACTTCCCACAGGGCAGGAAACCCTGACTGCTCTTAGGGATGGAGAGGGAGGACTAGAGGTACTGGGGGGAGTGGGAGGGTGTTGGGAGGAGGGGCGGAAATGGAAACTTTTATAATTTAATAAAATTACTTTCTAAAAAAAAAAGAAAAAAAGAAAGACTGATTTTGATTCAGTGTTCCCCTGCCCTGGGTGATGTTTGTATCAGGTTGACAAAGGATAGAGTCCTCTGAGAAGTGGGAACCTCAAATTGAACATCCACTTACAATATTTTTTCAGGCAAGCATGTAGGAAATTTCTTGCACTTAGGGATTGATGAGGGAGGGTAAAGTCCATTGTGTCTTGATCTATTCCTGAGCTAGCATTTCTGGTTTTTTTTTTTAAGGAAGCAGGGTGAGCAGGACATGGTAGGGAAACCATAAGCATTGTTTCTACGTGGCATCTCTGTATACATCCTGCTTGCTGATTGCTACCCTGTTTCTCTTCCTGTCCTGACTTCCCTCTGGGATGGATTGTGCATTTCTAAACTTCAGGCGAACAAATCTTTTCATCGCCTTTTCATCGGTCATTTTGTTTTGTCCTAGCAATAGAATCCAAACACAGTTATCTGCTCTGTAGAAGTGTGCACATGACTAGGCTTTCCCATGCTGTTTGACAGAAGTAATCTCTTGTTCTTTGCCTAGATCCATGAAGTGCCCTGTGGAGTCTCTTTCCATCCAATGTGGCAGGTTGTCTGAGCCAGACCTGGAACATTTGTGTTTGTGGCTGAGGCTTTATCAGCTGAAATATCTGAACCTACATAGTCTATCATTACTCCACTTAAGTCCTACACATCTCCAATTTCTCCATGAGAAGGTGCCAGACAATCTGCAAATTCTGGAGTAAAAGGACTGCTCGATCAGAGATTCTCAACTTAATGCCCTGCTGCCTACCCTGAGCAAGTGCTCCAAGCTCAATAGGGTCAATTTTCTCAACAGTGTCATCTCTACATCTCTTCTGAAGGACTTTCTGCATTGCAAGGCCAATCTAAGCACGCTGACTGAGGAGTTCTACCCTGCCCCATTGGAGTGCTATGATCAAGTGGGTCATATCCTTGAGGACAAATTTACCAATCTGTGTCCTGATCTCCTGAATATACTCAGGTCCAAAAGACATCCCAAGAAAGGCTTATTTCTTACAAAATTCTGCCATAAATGTGTCCGGTTCTGTGTCTATGACCTGGGGACTTGTCATAAAAAAGGTAGAGGATGCTTCTTGTATACTGATTAATGATATTGTGTGTATATGACTTTCAATAAAATGTCCAAGAACATGGCTTCTGGTAGTCTTTGATTCGTCATGAATAAAACTGTTTCTGTGGAAACAGGTCAGATGGACTAAATTCATTCTTGGGCTCCAAAAAGGTGTCATCTGTGCCTGGCTCCAGGAGCAGACAAGGCCGAAACTATGATTGTCACAGATTTGGTGAGTGATGGTGCAAATGTGTGTAAGGTACTCGGATTCTCGGGGTTTGCTGGGTGGAGGTGTGGCATGGGATGTGCTTTCCAAAGCTAGGGCCTAGATAGAAGACAATTCATCTGGAAAAACAGACATGTCCTTTCCACGGATATTCTGAGCCTAGGCTTTTTGGCCCAAATATTGATGGAGTATGGTTGTACATGTAGGGAGACTGCTGTTTTCTCTGAGGCTGGTGGGTTGTGTTTGGGCACATGATGTGCCACTCTGGGCTAGAACCAAGAGAGCAGAGCCTCCCTGGTTTAACCAATGAGAATCTGGCAATATAATCTATGATACAAATAAATTGAATAAAAAAACATGATTATATCACTAGAGGATAAAAAAAATCCTCTGACAATATAAAATGCCTCTTGTAAGTTACAGGTCTTGGAGGGAACAGGGATACAAGGAATGTAGCTAAACCTAATAAAACACTATACAGCAAGCCAAAATCTAACAACAAATAAATGGAAAGACATTCAAAGTGATTACACTGAAAGCAGGAAGAAGATAAGCCTGTCCACTCTTTCCATATCTACTCAAAGTTATACTTGAAACTGGAAAGAAATAATTCAAAGTTTCCTTTCTGCAGGTGCAATGATGATATATAAAAGTGACCCAAAAATGCGACCAGATGACTCTGCCAAATGATGAAAAGTTCATTAAAGTGGCAGGGTACAAGATCAACTCAAAAGTAGCAGAAGCCCTTCTATATATAAATGATAAAAGGTCTGAGAAAATAATCAGGGTAAATTCCTTTACAATTGCCACAAATAAGGTCAAATATCTTGGGGTAATGCTAACCAAAGAAGTGAAAAACCTGTATGCAAAGAACTTTTAAGTCCTTCAAGAAAGGACTTGTAGAAGGTATCAAAAAATGGAGAGATCTTCCATGCTCTTGGATAGGTAAGATCAATACAATAAAAATTGCAATCTTTCCAAAATCAATCTGGAATTTCATTCCAATCACCATCAAAAATCCCAACCCATTCTTCAAAGACCTAGATAGACCAAGAATCAACTTGAAAAGGAAGAACAAAAAAAGCCCGGATTGCAATATCAGCTCATTACAAGAGAAGAACCCCTGGAGGCATCACTATTCCTGACTTCAAGCTCGACTATAGACTTATAGTAGTGAAAATGCCAGCTCAGGCTTGGCATTAAACTTTCAGGTGGATCAACGGAACTCAAGTGATGACTCTGATATTGCTCCACACACCTGGACACCTGATTTTTGACAATGGAATCTAAAATTAAGTACTGAAAAAAAAGCAACTTCTACAAAAGGCGCTGACATAACTGGATGTCAACATGTAGCAGGATGTGAAATCAATCTATCTATCTCCATGCATAAACTATCTATCTATCTCCGTTCACAAGCTTAATTCCAAATGGATCAAAGATTGCAGTATAAATCCAGCCACACCTAACCTCATGGACGAGATATTGTGAGATATCCTTTAACACATGGGCACAGGAGACTACTTGTTAAATATAAAATCAGTAGCAGAGACACTGAAGTGAGAGCAACAATTAATAATGTGGACCTTCTGAAACTGAGAATCTTCTAGAAGGCAGAGGACATAGGCAATAAGGCAAACAACAGCCTTCAGAATGGGAAAAGATCTAAACTAACTCCATATCGGACAGAGGACTAATCTGCAAAATATACAAAGACACCAAAATACCAAATTATACAGTCAGAAAATGTGATACACACCTAAACAGAGAATTCTCAGCAGAAGAATCACAAATGGCTGAAAGATACATAAGGAATTGCATGACATCCTTAGCATCAGCAAATGCAAACCAAGAGGACTTGCAGATAAGATCTTACACTTATCCTAATGGATAAAATTAAGAAAAATGATAGTTTATACTGGAGAGGATGCTGTGTAAAGGGACTACTCCTCCACTGCTGGTGTGAATGCAAACTTGTAAAGTCGTTTTATTTTTTTCTCAAAGTTTATTAAAATACAAAAGTCTCCATTTCCGCCCCTCCTCCCAACTCCCACTCCCCCCTCCCACTCCCCCCACTCCCTCCCCTCCTCCCTCTCCATCCCCAAGAGCAGTCAGGGTCTCCTGCCCTGTGGGTAGTTCAAGCTCCTCCCCCCTCCCTCCAGGTCCAGGAAGGTGAGCATCCAAACAGACTGGATTCCCAAAATCCAGTATATGCAGAGGAAACAAGTCCCAGTGTCATTGTCAATGGCTTTTCAGAAAGACTCCGGGCCAGCCACATTCAGAGAATCTGGCCTCATTCAGAGAATCTGGCTGGATCACATGCTGGCTCAATCCCAGTCAACTGACCTTGGTGAACTCTCATTAGATCAGTCCCCTTGTATCAGTGGGTGATCGCACCCCTCGCGGTCCTGATTTCCTTTTTCATGTTCTTCCTCCTTCTGCTCCTCATTTGGACCTTGAGGGGCTCAGTCAGGTGCTCCAATGTGGGTATTCGTCTGTATCGCCATCCATCGTCAGATGAAGGTTCCCTCTGATCTTGCCTTCCTTGCTCATGTCCTCTTTCCTTCTGCTTCTCGTTTGGACCTAGGGAGTTAAGTCCAGTGTTCCAATCTGGGTCTCCGTCTCCATCTCCATCCATCGCCAGATGAAGGATTTATGGTGATAAGCAAAATATTCATCAGTATGGTTATGGGCCAAGGCCAGTTCAGGCACCCTCTTCTGTGTCCAGAGAACAATCTGGGGAATCTCTCCTTGGATCTGGGATCCCATTTATAATCAAGTCTCTAGTAAACCCTAAACTGACTCCCTTAGTTGAGATATATTCTTCCCTGATCCCATATCTATCTTTCCTCCCTCCCCCCTTCCCAGTCCCCCGAGCATTCCCCATTCCTCCCCTGCTCCCTTCTCTCTAACCCTCTCCCCTTCCAACAACCCACCTACCCCGCCATGCAGCCGAGGTTACCTGGGACTCTTGTCTATTTCCAATCTCCAGGAGGAAAACTACCTGAATTTTCTTCAGGTTCACCCTCCTAACCAGCTTCTCTAGGATCACGAATAACAGGCTCAAAGACCTTTAATTATGGCTAGAATCCATTTATGAGTGAATACATACCATATTCCTCTTTTGCGGTCTGGCTTACCTGATTCAGTAAAGCATTTTCTTTTCTTTTTTCTATTATTTTTTTTAATTTTTTTATTTTTTTATTTAATTTTTACTGGGAACCCCTCCAGAATCAAGTCTCTTGCAAACCCTAAAATGGCTCCCTTTGCTGAGATATAAACCTCCCTGCTCCCCAAACATCCTTCCTCCTCCTCCCATTGCCCAAAACCATCCCCAATCCTCCCCCTCTCCCCTCTCCCTGACCATCTTCCCTTACTTCCACCCCCCACCCCCCATGCACCCGAGTTTGCTTGGCAATCTTGCCTAGTTCCACTATCCAGGAGGATAACTATATGATTTTCTTCAGGTTCACCTTCTTATTTAGCTTCTCTAGGATCACAAATTATAGACTCAAAGACCTTTAACTATGGCTAGAATCCACTTATGAGTGATTACATACCATATTCCTCTTTTTGGGTCTGGGTTACCTCACTCAGTAAAGTGTTTTACATTTTCATCCATTTACATGCAAAATTCAAGATGTCATTGTTTTTTACCGCTGAGTAAAACTCTAATGTAAATATATTCCACACCTTCTTTAACTATTCTTCTATTGAGGGGCACCTAGGTTGTTTCCATGTCCTGGCTATTACAAATAGTGCTGCTATGAACATAGTTGAACAAATGCTTTTGTGGTATGATAGGGCATCTCTTAGGTATATTACCAAGAGTGGAATTGCTGGGTCCTGAGGGCGGTTGACTCCCAGTTTCCTGAGAAACCGCCACACTGATTTCCACAGTGGCTGCACAAGTTTGCATTCCCACCAACAATGGATGAGTGTTCCCCTCATTCCACATCCTCTCCAGCATAGGCTATTGTTGGTGTTTTTGACTTTAGCTATTCTGACAGGTGTAAGATGGTATCTCAAAGTGGTTTTGATTTGCATTGCCCTGATCGTTAAGGAGGTTGAGCATGACCTTAAGTGCCTTTTGGCCATTTGAAGTTCATCTGTTGTGAATTCTCTGTTCAGTTCAGTACCCCATTTTTTAATTGGGTTAATTGGAGTTTTAGTGTCTAGTTTGTTGAGTTCTTTGTATATTTTGGAGATCAGGCCTTTGTCTGATGAGGGGTTGGTGAAGATCTTCTCCCAGTCAGAAAGCAGACTTTTTGTCTTACTGACAGTGTCCTTTACTTTACAGAAGCTTCTCAGTTTCAGTAGGTCCCATTTATTCATTGTTTCTCTTATTGTCTGCGCTCCTGGGGTTCTGCTTAGGAAGTGGCCTCCTGTGCCTATATCTTGTAGACTACTTCTCACTTTCTCTTCTATCAGGTTCAAAGTGGACAGATTAATGTTGATATCTTTAATCCATTTGGACTTGAGTTTTGTGCATGGTGATAGATATGGATCTATTTTCATTCTTCTACAGGTTGACATCCAGTTATACCGGCACCATTTGTTAAAGATGCTTTCCTTCTTCCATTGTATACCTTTAGCTCCCTTGTCGAAAATTAGCTGTTCATAGGTTTGTGGATTAGTATCCAGGTCTTCTATTCGATTCCATAGGTCGACTTCTCTGTTCTTATGTCAATAACAAGCTGTTTTCAATACTGTAGCTCTGTAATAGAGTTTGAAGTCAGGGATGGTAATGCCTCCAGAAGTTCCTTTATTGTATAAGATTGT